AGTCAATATAATTTGAATTGCAAAATAAATTTTCAAAACAAAAAGGTCAAATCTAAATATCAACTCCTCTAGTAAAGAGTCATTACAGGAAAAGAATAATTACTCTTAATATGTCATTTTATCCCCTTTTTAGCTTAAAATAATGGTTTGTCATGGAATAGGTATTCCACCCAAGTAAATAAACTCCAAAAGTTGAGTGCTACAGTTTTTAACCTGAAAATAGAAGAAAGCAGTGGATTGCAAAGAACAATATGTTTGAGGCAATTCATAGACAAGAATTTAAATGTAGAATAAAATGATTGTATGTCTTACAAAGCAGGAACCATAATTAACTAAAGAACAGTTGAAAATTCAACCTAAATGAAATATAGAGAAACCTAGCAGATGACAACACTGCATTCTTTTGAGGCTCTGGGTAACATCTGCAACTCTTTAGTAATCTCCAATTTGCGTTCATTCTTGGCAGTAAAATGAATTTCTAAGCTCTCTAGAACTCTTGCACATTTCAGAAAACATTTGACAATTTCCATTTGACATTCCTTGCCCCCAAATTCAAAAATTTTAATTGTCTTCAGGAAAGATGACAAACAATTGACTCCAGATTCCTCTAGTTTGTGCCAGAGAGCAGGATTCCATTTTCTACAGTCAAGATACTGATAGGAAAACATATGATAAGATTAGTATATACTTTATACTCTGCATGAGCACAACAGTGATTTCATTAGGAACTCATACCTTCAAGACAAGAGTGTCTAAAGATCGACAACGGGCAAGAAAACGTGGTAACTGTACCAAGAACAATCCCGGAGACCAAACTGTTAAATGAGTCAAATTATGAAAGACAGGGATTGGAATTTTGTGCTTTCGGAGATCCTGTAAAACGAAAGTTCTAGTTAGCTGCCTGCTTTTAGATTGTAAAATAACCCAGATGAAAGAAAATAGGCACTTCATAATTAATTGTTCTTCTCTAGAGTGAGGTGTGGTCAGAAAACTTACCGCTAGAGTTGTACCACATATAGTAAGTGTCCTAATATTGCTTATCCCTCTCATCAGATCAGTTACAGCATCAATGTGACGGCTACAATCACCATGGTCTTCTCCAAAAAAAATATCAGCTTCAGCTAGGGACTGGACGTTTGCAAATGCATGCGAGTTTAAGTCATTGACAGAGTAGTCCAAGTAGACAAGGTTTGGGGCATTAATAACAATATCTAAACTGCTATTGTTCAATGTGGTGCCCAAATATCGTACAGTCAGCCTCTTGACTGTAGTATTAGAAATACTAAGTTTGCAGCTATCACCACCAAAACCGTAGTGCAAATCCTCAAGAATGGGGCAGCAAGACAATAGCCTATTACAGGAATCATCATCTGGAAATGTAATATCCTTCACGTGAAGAACCTTAAGACTTGGGAGACAAAATTTGGCAGGTAGTTTTAAACCAGTGTCAATTGACTCAGACTGCTTGATCTTCCTGGAACGCATGATTGAGACACCAAGCTCCTCAGAGTCCTCGTCGGAGTAGTAGTGCCTGTTGGACTCAGAATGCTCATTGGACTCAGAGGAATAATAGTTCTCATAGGTGGAATCATAGTCCTCCTCAGACTCAGAGTACTCGTCAGACTTATATTGTTCATCATCATACACATGGTCCATCTCTAAGTCATGAGAACCTGTTTTCCTCAATTTCAAAACCACCAGTGTCTTACAATTAAATAAACAAGTCGGCAGCAGCAGGTCCTTGCACTGATTAACACTAACAAATAAATCAAGCTCTCGAATACCATGCCATGTTACAGCACTAATCCACCCTTGTAGGCGCAAAGGATCAGGAGGTTGTGAGAGAAGCCAGTGAAGACGAAATTTCTCTACAGAACTCTTACGGGAAAAGAAGAGTCTCTCCACAAAATTCATGTAATCAAACTGATCGGCCTTCTTCCTCCGTTTCCGACGAAATTCAAGATTAAGATCCGAAGCTGCAGCATAGAGATACTTCCATCTGGTTGAGAGAATAGAGGTACGAACTGCATCTTTGAAAGGAAGGAATGAGAGAATGTGCAAAACAAGTTCATCGTTTAATCGACTGAGATAGTCTATGCCCCGTCCAGCCATCAAGAAAAACAACAGTTTCACTTCCAGAAAACCCGTAAAAAGAAAAATCCCCTCCTTCAATCTCGCCTGGGAATATAAAGAACCCGTAGATATTTTTAACAAATCCTGCAACAAAAGAACCCGCAGATATTAACAAATCCAGAGAAACTAATGAACTCTATCATCAAAATGAAGCCGAAATTAAAGAAAACAAAGGATTGAAAAATTCGAAGTTGAGATTTTATTTTTTCTATTCTTTCAAAATAAGAATAAAGCAACTGCAAAATTGCATGATAGAGATTGGAAAGGGAAGAACCTAAGACAATGGAAAGGAAAATGCAAAAGAAAATAATAAAGTTGACCTGGAATTTGCTTTCATATTTTTGATAGATTCCGGTTTCAGGGAAAGGCGAACAGTTGAGATGAAATCCAGAGGATTTATCTATTTTTAGGGTTTTATGTTTTCATTTTAGAGGTTTTGCGAGTTATCGAGCGTTTCCTTCCCATTTATATTTTTTAGTTTTTTAATCGGAAGAGACCTCTTGGTCTCTTACTCCTAATGTCCCGTTAATCTCTGTTTTGTTTATTTATCAGAAACAACAATCTTACCTGTTTATAATTTAAATATGGATAGAGATTTATTTTTATATAAATTTAGTATATTATATTTATATAATATTTTAATTTTTTTTATTTTTAATAATTGAAATTTATTTATATTTATTAAAAAATAATTATTCTTTTACCAGCTATAATACATTTTACTTATTGAAAATAAAAATAAATAAATGATTAAAATTTCATGTAAATATAAAATGTAAAATTTGTATATATCTACATCTTTCTTTTCAAACAATTAATTATATATATATTTTTTGGTATATCAAAACTTACATATTTGGTGTTGCAAAGAGATTTAAATTCTTAATTTTAATCCTAAATTAAAATTTTAAATTTATGAATATCAATTTAATCAAATTCTTATCAACAACATTTATTTATATATACAATTAGTAGTTATTTATAATTTAAAAATTATCAATTTTCAGATATATGCTAGGTACAAACGAAACTAATCCATTTAATTTATTTGAATTTTGACATTTTATCTTTTTAAATTTTGGATTATACAATGACAATCAACTTACTCTATGCATGTCCTATAACCTAACATCATAATATTTTATTTTAATTTTTTTTGGTAAAAAAATCATAATATTTTATGCACTAAATTATTTAGATGATTATTAGCATTAATATTTTAGGCTCCATCTTCAAATATACACTAGTTATAAACAAAACTTAATCAATTTAATTTATTTGAGTTTTGATATTTTATTTTTTATTTTTTATTTTTTTTACTAACCCTTAGTACACAATTATCACGTTGAGTTCTAAACCAATTAAAAATAAGCCACATTAAGCCTCATAAGAAAAAAAACTCTTTTAGTAGTTATTTTTTTATTCAGAACTCGAAATTTTATTTAAAGAGAATCAAGTTTCTTTTATTTAAACTGATAGGTCATTGATATTTTTTTATTTTTTTTAATTTTAAATTACATAATAACAATTAACTTACTTTATGTACATGTCTTGTTACTTGATGAATTCAAAATGTCTTGTTACTTGAATTCAAAATGTTTTATACACTAGATCATTTAGATGATTCGCATTAATATTTTCAAGCTCATTTTATTATGCTCGTCATTTTCTGTTTTTATTTTTAATTTTGGTTTTTAAATTATGTAACTTTAAATAAAAAAGGTAACCTACTTTCATGTGTTTTTACAATATATTAACATAATTATTTAAAAAATAAAAATAAAAAT